GGGTTTGAGCGTCAACTAGATGCTCACGGGTGGCAACACGAAACCTTTCCGTTTTCCTGACAAATTCCCATCTTACTACTTAGATTCTATTTTCTTCACTTTTCCTTGCCATTGGTATTATTCTCTTCTTTTAACTGATTTCCCCTACTCTCTTAACTTCCATTCTTCTTTCTCTCTTACTTCCTTCACGTAACTGACATAGCTGGGACAGCTACTTCCTTGAGGTAGTACTTAGCAACGTGCGTAGCCTAAGGAACAAGGTGCACGAGTTGGGTCTACTTGTAGACAAATCTCGTCCCGACATACTTGCTTTCACTGAGACGTGGTTGTCCCCGGATATCACGGACGGTGAGGTATATTTACCTGGCTACGCGCTGCTTAGAACTGATCGCTCCGTTGGTCGCCAAGGCGGAGGCGTTGTACTGTATGTGAGCTGTAACTTAGATGTGTTGAGGACCTGCACATTCCAGTCGTCGGATCAGACTGTTGAAGCCCTATCGGCTGTTTTGTGCACTTCCTCTACCCAGTTTACAGTTATAGTGGTATACAGAAGTCCTGGAAGTTCCTCCAGGGGGATACTTGACTTTATTCGCACTCAGTCTGCGAATAAGTGTTTAGTTCTAGGGGATTTCAACCTCCCGCAAGTCTGTTGGGCCGATCTTTCTTGCAATTCGGCATTAAGAACATTCGGTGCAGACTTCCTTGAACTGACTCTCCAAGTGCCTTTGCACCAGTTCGCTGACTTTCCCACTAGGTATATGGACAACCAAATGCCATCTACTTTGGATTTGGTTTTCGCTAAGTCCGTGGACTTCGTGACTGACGTTTCATGCGGTGCACCTCTAGGGTCCAGCGATCACGTATGCATATCCTTTCGATGTGCTCTTTCAAGGCACCAAGAGACCGCTGTTGAATTACTTCCGAATATTTGGCGGGCGGACTTTAGTGCAATGCGAACTAAGGCTTCAGTTCTGAACTGTGAGATTTCGATGGCTGACTCTGTCCAGTTAGCCTGGGATAAATTTAAGGCATACCTTACTGAGGTTTCCGCACCCTATATTCCACTCATTAGGAAAAGAGGGTTAAGGGCACAGCCTCCATGGATAGATACCACAGGCAAGTACCTACTCAAGGAACGGTCTAGATGCTGGCGAACCTACCAAGCAGCTCCATCAGCCAGTACCTATGATAGTTATCGAGAGAATAGGAATAAATGTAAGCAACATCTCAGAACTGCTCGTCTCCAATACGAGCAGGGTTTAGCGGACACGGCCGCAGCTAATCCCAAGAAGTTTTTTGCTTACGTTAAAAGACGCAGCGGGGCAAAATTGTCTATACCAGCTTTATTGCGAGCAGACGGGACCCCTGCGCAAACTGACTATGACAAGGCTTGTATACTGAGTGATCAGTATACTGCGGTCTTTGCTCGGGAGACCTCTTTACCGCAGGTTGAATTGGTTTCAAGAGTTCCAGAGGATTCTTGCTTAGCTGAATTTAGCATAACGGAGACTCAGGTCTTCGAGCTACTGCAAGGCATTAATCCCTCTAAAGCTTCCGGTCCTGATTCAATTCATCCGAAGCTGTTGCATGAACTGGCCACTGAGCTGAGTGGTCCGCTCACGTGCGTATTTTCAATATCGCTGGACAGCTGCAGCCTACCTTCGGAATGGAAGGAGGTAATCATCTGTCCGATTTTTAAGGGCGGTGACAGCGCTCTACCCGCGAACTACCGGCCTGTCAGTTTGACAAGCGTAGTAGTCAAGTTGTTCGAGAAGCTGATAAGGGATTCAGTGGAGAGCCACCTGAATCGATTCAACCTTCTCAGTGTTGCACAACATGGATTCCGCAAAGGATTTTCATGTCAGACTAATTTACTTGTAGCTCGTGAAAGCTGGGCCGAAGCGGTAGACAGTGGCCACGCTGTAGACGTGCTATTCGTAGATTTCTCGAAAGCTTTTGACACTGTTCCACATCTTCGGCTCTCACTAAAGTTGAGATCCTACGGGATATCTGGTCGCGCCCTTCAATGGGTGTCTGCCTTCCTTGAGGGGAGGGAACAGTGCGTACGGGTGGGGCGTAGCCTTTCGCTCAGGCAAGCTGTCCTTAGTGGCGTTCCGCAGGGCTCGGTATTGGGGCCATTGTTGTTCGCGATCTATGTAAATGACTTGCCGGGAGAGCTAGAGGTGTCATCATTAATGTTTGCTGACGACCTTAAGCTCTGGAATATTGTGGATATCCCGGGGGTCCTGAGGCAATTCAGCGTGCCTTGGATAGACTCTGGGAATGGTCTATCTTATGGTTGATGCCCATAAATAGGGCCAAGTGCTCTGTTCTCCGAATCGGAGCTGCTAATCCTCCCACCCGATATGTTCTCGGCGGTGGTGAACTCCCTGTTGTCACTCAGCAGGTTAATTTAGGAGTCGTACACGCATCAGCACTTCATTCTGGAGACAACTGGAAGAAGGCTGCTTGTCGAGGGTTTCGTATGATGTGGTTTATCCGCCGCTCTTTCGGAATCTTAACGGCCAAGTTGTTTGTGAAGCTATTTTCGGCATTCGTCCGACCCCACCTGGAATATTGTATTCAGGCTTGTCCACCATGTCTTAACCGAGACAAAATGGACTTGGAGAGGGTGTTACGAGTGGGCACTCGGTTAGTGCAGGGTCTACGGGGACAGACGTATCCTGAACGCTTGCTCAGTTTGGGGATGTACTCCATGCACTACCGAAGGATAAGAGGGGACCTGATTCTCACTTATCGTATTTTGACGGGTAAGATTGGCCCGGACTTGTCAGGGCTTTTTAGTCCCGCCACGTTACCTAGTCTCCGCGGTCACCCACTGAAACTGCATAAACCACGGTCTGATAGGATTAGGACGGAAACTCGTCTATCGCGCCGAGTTATAGATCGCTGGAATTCGCTTCCAGACCACGTGGTTAGGGAACCTATGGTTAAGGGTTTTGCGCGCCAGCTCGATGCTCTTGGGTGGCAACAGCAAACCTTTCCTTTTTCCTAGCTGACTCACCTTCATTTTTCAGTTCTTTTTTATTGACTCAAATATCTTGGTATTCCATTTGCTTAGCTCTTACCACTTTCTCTTTTGCCTCCTGCGTTTACTTTTTTCTCTTTCTTACTTCACGTAACCGACCCAGCAGGGACTGCTAGGGCAGGATACGTGGGCATTAATTGGTTGGACAGGGTGTGATGCGGTCTTTGTTTTAGGTCCATCAGTATTTCAAAGTTCGCCAACTCCTGGTTCAACGACCCGCCGAAGAAGGAACACTCACGGGATCTATCCTATCGTTCCAGTCCCGCTTGAACTTGAACTTGTAAGGAACGTGGGCATTAAATTGGTGGACCAGGGTGTTTTTCGGGTGTTTTCGTTTTAGACCCATCAAGAAGTCGGAGCACCCCTATCAACCCCTGGATCGACGACGCGCTCAAGAAGGAACACTTACGGGATTCATCCTATCGTTCCAGCCCCACTGGAACTTAAACTTGAACTTGCGTCACCATTTATTCTGCTGTACCGGAACACAAAGTCCCTCCAGGCCAATTTTTCATGTCAAAAGTTAGCCACTCTCTCTTTTAGTTTCGGTTACGCGTGTTATGCTTGCGGCGCGTCACTGTCGCTGTAGCAAGTCAACGGATAAGATGTCGTCGAGCATAGTTTAGGTTGTGCTTGTCGTTTTCTCTTTACTTTCCTATTTCGTCTTTAGTATCGTTAGAGCAGCCATCGTGCGTGTTTACACGCCATCCGTCCAGTCACCTCACGCCCGGCCCTCTAGCAGCGGTTGTGACAATACCATCCAACTCGCCGCGAGGTGTTCCGACTCTTACTAAATGGTTTCCACCCACGGCTCTTGCGAGCGTGCGCTGCAGCTCTAGCTTTACCCCTAGCGGAGCTGTTCACCCATTTCTTCTTGCAAAGCAAAGTTCCCAATGATTGGAAATGTGGGACTATTACACCAATCTACAAAGGCGGTACTCGCAAAGATCCGGCCAATTACCGACCGATAACTCTCCTATCTACGATCTCCAAAGTGATGGAATCGATCGTCGCAGACGCTTTAACGGATCACATGGAGACCCAGAAACTGCTCTCTGATTGCCAGCACGGTTTCCGGCTTCAGCGGTCTTGCCTGAGTAACCTGCTACTTGCCAGGGACAGCTGGACCACTGCAGCCGACTCTGGCCAAGAAACGCATGTTATCTTTCTGGATTTCGCCAAAGCCTTCGA